AATGGAAATTTAAGAATTATATAAATCAAGAGAATGGTAGTGAAATATAGAAATAACAAAAAAATCTATATATTCAAAAATRCTAGAAGGGATTTTGAATATTYTCACCACATATAATTAATGAATATGTAAGAAGTTGAATACATTTATCTTGATTGGAACATTGAACAAAATATACATGTATCAAGATACCACATGATATCCATCAACATGTACAAAGTTTATATATCAATGTAAAATGACTCAGTTAATTTTACAAAAGAATATAAGAAAATATTAGAGAAAAAAATACTTAGAAAAAAAGCCCAACAAAAAGATAAAACATTCATATTGCTAAAATTCTTATAGAGTAAAAGTACAGCAAAGGATAAAAGCAGAACTAATATTTAAAATTATAATTCAAGAAATTTTCTATAAAGTAAAAAGACCTGCACTTATTCACTGTTATAACTCATAGTTGCATGGAAATATTAACCTAGAAAGATCAATTACAATAATAAGTTAATTAAAAAATAGATTTCTAAGTTAAAGTTAGGTTTTCTTTATTATTTTAGATCAAACCAAAATCAAATCCTTTAAAAATGAAAATAAGTTAGATTTATGATCAACATTTCCACTGTAATCATTCAAAGACAGAATGCAGAAGCATTTTAAATGCTGGTTAAACTTTCCTTTATATACTAATTTATAAAATTACTACAAAATTTCACTATGTAAAAAATTATAGCCCTCTGTACCTCCAGGTTCACATGAGTGCACAACTGAGTAACAATCATCCAATGAAGGAATAATTAGGGAAACTTCAGCAAAATACAGGTAGTGAATATAGATTGAGAGAGGGTAGAAGACTGATATTTGAATAATACATAGAATGATAAGTACTAACAAGCCTACTGAAAAAGTGAAAGTGAATGAGAGAGTGAAAAATGAAAATTAAAAAGTAAGTTAATTTTGTATAAAAGTAAGAAGAGTTAAAGAATATGGATATGAACAGATAAATCAGACAATAAGAAGTGAAATAATTAAGAAATAGGAGGAGCAAATTGTTTGGTACAAATTAAAATTGGTGTAAGTACAAAGACAAATCCTAGGTGAACTATCCCAAAGCCATTTTAAAATTTATTAATGAATAAAGAATATGGCCTAATATATCAAACATATAATACATAAAAATTGGCTCAATTAATTTATCAAAATAAAAATTTCAAATTTGGTTTTTAGAGATCTAATTTTATGCTGTATATATTTTCCTAAAAAAAAAATGATCCTGAAAAACTATAAGAACAATATGAACAAAGATTCTGGGCAAAAGAAYAAAAGAAGAAAATATTAGTAATGATTCTAATAACAAAATAGAATATAGGCTAGAAAACATTAAATTAACACAGGGGATATTTCCATGTTAATAACCATAATCACCAGATGTATATAATGCTTAGGAGTATTTTATTTATGTGCAAAAACACAAAAAGAAGTCGTAAAGAGGACTGTGCAAGTATATATATTGTGCAATAAATATATATGTATATATGTAATATATACAAAATAAATATACATATACAAACAGAAAAAAAGACAGTAGATAGAACCATAATAATAATAATAATAATAATAATAATAATAATAATAATGGAGGACTTTAGTATACCACTCTCAGAATGAAACCTGAAGCAGAAAGAAATAGGAAAAAAGTACATAAGGACATAGAAGACCTAAGTCACATAATCAATGAGGTTGCTATTACTGATATATATATATATATATTTACCTCTGCACCATTAGAAAAAAAAMCAAACTTTTCCATAAGCTATCAGAAAATATAAACAAAATTGATCATATATTAGGGCAGAGAAAAAATGTATGTTTTTAAAGTAGAAATGTTATTGCTAAAGTACTCTGATTGCTATGCCATAAAGCTAGAAATTACTGACAATAACAAAATAATAGACAAGTCATTTCATCAAGAAAGCCAGTCTTTGATTAAATAACTCTCAGGTGAAAGTGAAAATATATTATGAAATTACAGWTTTCAGAAAAATGATGTTAATAAAAATGTACTTAAAATCAGCAGACAAAAATCATAGAACTCTGCACATTTATCATTAAAATGAAATAAATAATATGAATAAACTAATATCCAGGTTTTAAAAATGTTTGGAAAGAACAATTAAGTAAGCTAAAGAAAGTATAAGTAATAAATTTAAAAGCAAAAGTTAATGAAGCAGAAATTGAAGAAAACAATTTTAAAAATGACTAAAACTGCTGTTATTTAAAATAATTGAGAAAATTATAAAATGCTTGGTAATTTATCCATAGACAAGGGAGTAAGACTTAAAAAAATAACAACTGAAAAATCATTGAAAGAAAAKATATTTTAAAAATTATATGATCCATTTTTTAGATCTTTATGGATATAAATTTGAAAATTTAGATGAAGTGGTTAATTCCCTAAAGAAATGCGGATTATCAAACTTCATACCACRATATTTAGAGATTATAAAGATAATATATTACATTTTTATAATTCCTTTAGAAGAAGCAGAAGAAATTGTTAAAACTATAGGATTATGTTTCATATCAAGAAAATTTCCCAAGAAAATTTTGCCAAATGTTTAGAGAAGAAAATTTCCATTATCCATTAAWTTTTTTTAAATATTACAAATAAATTCCTATTATACACAAAGTATAATATTATCATTAGTGTTGGGCAGACTGTTAAGGTACCTCCTTGATTTCTGCCTGTTGATACCCAATATCCTTACATGATCCTCTCTTCTGGAGTATGGCAAGGTTAGTGAATTGCTTCTATCAATCAGAGCATATCAACTGTGGTGGAGGAAAAAAAAAGCAAGAGGGCGCATGTGTGTGTGTGTGTGTGTGTGTGTGTGTGTGTGTGTGTGTGTTGTTACAAGAAATTGTAGCCTTCTTTGGATACACTTTCCATCCCTTCCTGGCTTTGAGAAAACATGCAGCCATATCTGGGATTCCACATGATAGGTAGGAACTATAGGCGCTATAGGAGCTTCTTGGAGGTTAGGGTGATCTCCAGCAAAAACAATGCAAAATCTGCCATTTAATTATCAATGTTGAGCCCCTCAATTATAAAACCATAGGGAACTGAATTCTGCCATAAACATATGAAAATGGGAGCAGATCCTTTCTCACCTTAGTTTCAGAAGATACTGCAGACCTGACCAACAYCTTCATTACTTCACTGAAACTTACAGACTAAACCTAATATGTTGTCTCTGTATAATTATTATGGACTAAAATAATTTCACCATTTACTATTACATCAAGTAAAAGATTGTAAAGTATTTTTATTAATTGAGTGTCTTCATGGAAATATTTTTAAACAGTTAAAGAAACAGAAGGATAACACTACAACATTCATTTGCATTGAGATATCTTGTACATGGAAATTTTGAAAGTTATTATTTTAATTGATTGTTTACCATGTGCCTACAATTAGTTTTTTTAACTTTCCAATTTTATTAATCATATGTAACARACTGACATCCAAATACTGTACATAACTATATAATTAGAATACTGATAAGACATCATCTTTATTAAATCTGATAATTATTAAAAAAGACTAAGACATTTAAATAATCAAGGTTAAAGAACCACAGGTTCTCACTCTCAAAAAATCAATCCCACTGACATTTGGATTTCAGACTTCCAGCTCCCAGAATTATAAAACAATGTATTTCTGTGTTTAAGCCACCAGTCTGTGGTACTTTGTAACAGCAACTCTAGGAAACTAACACTGTTATTATTCAGCAAATCAAACAGCATATTCCTGTATTCACACAACATCCTTCCCCTGAAACAGCATTCAGATTTGAAGGGAGCCACTTCTCAAACCCCCTGGTCTATTTCTCAATCCCTATGGTCTACTGAAACTGACAGTCACAATCACCTTCTAAAAGATGTTGCCTTGAACCCAGCCTCCTTGGTGTGGTTGATTACTTCTATGATATGCCAGCAACAATGAGACGGGCTTTGGGTAGGTACCAGGTTCAAGCTCTGATCAGCAAACTTCACCACTTAGCTTAAAAGGACAGGCTGCTTCAGATTCTTTGTGCCCCTCAAACAATTTCAATTAATAATCTCTGGAGAAAATGGCCTTCTGCTTTAGTTGCTATAGCAAGAATGAAACAGATGTAAGCCAAAATGATATGGAAACAAACTGTTAGTAGCTGGGAAGTAAAGGTAAGGTTTGTTTTGACAAATTGCCTTAAAACCAAACGTTCTTCCTATAATCTTAAAACAAAGTCCTGTTTTCAGAATCCTATCAGAGCCCACAATAATCTTCCTGCTGCACACAATCTTTTAAACCTAAAATAACTGTAGATTCTCCCAGCAAACACAATTCAGAGTAAAATAAAAATAAAGATAACCCAGACCCTATTCTTAAGAAGCACGTTCTGGTATATATCAAATACTACTTGCTTTTTATGACAAAATTTATCTTCTCATTAGTACAGATGAAAACTGAAGTCTACAAAAACTATGTTACTTTCCTAAGAGAAACAACCTTGGGTATGGTAAAGAAGTTGACCTAGAAATGGTCAAAGAAAATAACTTCCTAAGAAGGTGATCATTACCTGTCATCAAGACTGAAAACCAAAAAATATCAAAAAGAAACTTTGGACATCAGACTGAAATAAAAACTAGAATTGCTGTTTTGATTAAATAAATTTATTGGATCAATAGAGAAAGAAGGTCCATCATGAAATYCATCAATGCAGTAACTGTCACAGTCATCCTAATGAGGCAGAACTGCCAGGGGTCAGGTGAATTTCACCTTGTCCCACTTCATGAGGTAAATTTAAGGAACTGGTAGGTTCTGTATAGTTCAAAAACGGACCATATTAGACTTCCAGGGCAGGATCAACATCTTCCAAAAGTGATGCTGAGGACATGTGGCATTCAGAATTTGTGAATCTTGGTGTTATGAATATATAGGCTGAGAATCCCTTATGTTTTTTTCCTTAGTAGTATCCAAAGCCAGAGCCATAGCCAGAGCCACATCCATAACCACAGCCACAGAGGGAGCGGGAGCCGTATCCATAGCCACAGCCATAGCCACAGCCCAGTCTTCGGACGCCACAGCCATAGCCAAAGCCCRGGCCTCCATAGCCACAGCCTCCATTGCCATAGCCCATGCCTCCGTAACCATAGCCTCCATAGCCAYAGCATCCATAGCCACGGCCACCATAATARTTTCCGTAGTAGCTGCCACACATAGTGTTGCTTGTTGAGTGGAGAGTTTGTCCTTGGGTAGAGAAGGAGTGTAGGTGACATATTATTCCTGTAGAAGGCCTTTTATATGCCTTCAGAGTGGGTGGGACCCACTACATGTGCTCATGCCATTGGCCTATTTTATGACTAATATAATTAATGTGTTATTAAAAGAGCAGTGGGTTGTGCCTTAAGGCATTTAAGAAGCATGTTTTAATGCATTGAGTAGCATTTTAATAAGGTCATAGAGTCATACACAGTAGAACATTAGTTTAAAATTTTAAAACCAGGTATAATATAGAGAAAGAGAATCCTTGATAGTTTGAATTGACTTGCTGTTAACCCTAAAGCACTATTTTTCTCCTTGACCTACCAAAATTACAGTCTTCCTATGGGGTATTTTAAATATCTGTTCCAGTYGAGGGACAAATAGTACAGTGTTGGGGTGGCTTGTGATGAGATTAAGGAATAGAAGACAACTTAGAATCCACCCCCTCTTATTTATGAGAGATTAGAGGACAGGAAAGTTACTGATTTCCCATCTCAATACAAAATTCAAGTGAAGAAAAATGAACTTAATGTAATCAAAGAGACAAACTAAACCATTTTATATTCATCYAATTTTTTTCCTTTTTATGTAGGCTTCTTTGCAGACATTTTTCTTGGTACACAAAATTCATAAATACATTATTTGTGACAAAATTTTATTCATTGTCTTTCTTCATAAAAGCATTAKTTGCAGATAGATCTTAAATATCCCAATGTATATTTTCCCAAACGAAATGACATTAACTGGAACTCTTACTCCGAAGATTCAAAAAATTCAACCATCTATCCATCCATCCATCCATTTATCAATCCATTCATTCATTCACTCATCATCAAATATATATAGTTTTAATGACAACTAGTCAGAATCATAAAAAATTTATGTTATCATCAATAGATCTTAACCAATAATGGGACTCCATTTTGCATTTTTTAAACAAAATCTCACATTTTTTTATTAAAATTTAAATAGCCATGGAAAGAATTATTTGTCTTACACCAAATTGTCCTAGATTTCAAAATTAATGGGGTTAGAATATGAAAACTATAAAATAGAACTTGCAATACTGCGTAGAAAATAAAGACATGATGAAAGAAAAAAAAATACCTGCCAAAATTACCAGAAGGAACCCTTGATAGCCAAATATAGGATGATCAGTGCATTATCATCGAGATTGTGAGTTTTGAATAAAGTAAAAAATTTTCAGTTCATACCAACATAAACAAACAAGTGAAAAAGATAAATCAATGTATAATGGACAATTCTTTTTATAGTAAAATGAAATCAATAAAAACCATAGGAATTATGGAGAGAGAAGATGTTTAATGGATGCTGAACTAACAGAAAGATTTGGTGAGCWACAAAGTACTCAGCTTAGTCTCAAATAATTTCCTTACAATTGGGTAAAACAGTAATCTAATAATGAATGTGATGAACAMCAAATGATCAAAGTTAAYAGTATYCCTTCTGGGAAAAACTAAAATCTGSTTTATCATCTGCCTCATGATRTGATATACTAACAAGAACACAATATCACTTCAGGGCTTATGCCAAAATGCATAACCCAAACCTACTCAAGAAGAGACAACAGACAAACCCACATTTTAGGACAACCTTACACAAACCACAGCATGTATTCTCAAAATATTACCAAGGTTATCCAACTTAAAGAAAGGCTGAGGAACTACATAGATTGCTTCTCTGTCTTCATTTGCACCACTCAGCAAAAACTGGTTCCATTTGGTACTTCCTTTATTCTCTCTTCAAAGCTGTACTATACTTTTATGGAGTCCTTCTGAGCACAAGGACTTTGTTTGCTTCCATCCTCACAAGCTGCTTCTCCTCATTATCCTTTGCTTGACTGGTTTAGAGTGACCTCAAAAATCCTGGAGTGCCTGGGGCTTCATGTTTATCTCTTTTAGAGTCTCTCTCAAGTTCTTTTTTTCTGGAACACAGTCAATATCAGGATTCTAAGTACCTCACATTCTCCAATTGACTCCAATTTTTATATTTAAGCTTGAAAATYTTGAATTTTTATACTGGCTGACTTGTTTTTAACACCTTGATGTGGATGCTAATTGGCATTAGGAATCTGCCCTCGATCATCTGAATTCATCCCCTACCACGTTTCTCTTATGTACCAATAATGCCAAAACCCCACTGACTTTTCTGCTCCCCAAGTACAACAAATATTGCTCGCAATAAACTCCCAGTCTTGGCATTATTTTTTATTAAAATAATATCAGGGAAGTTTGGCTTCATTTTCTAATTAAATCACAATCATAACACCACAATTTATGATCACCTTACCTTAATTCATCTCCTTTTAATACCGTTTTAGAATTTAATGTAACTCACTGAGTTTCTTATCTTAAAGCATCTCTATTACAATTTATATAATATTTATTTTTTAAAATATATCTCTCTTCTTCAATCTCAATTGTAACCTACAGAAAGTAGAGATTTTGCCTGTTTTGTTCAGCTGCTCCATCCTTATTCCTTACAACAGTGCCCGGCACAGAACATTCATAACACAATTTGGGAACAAGAGAAAATGTAAACCAATGAATGAGATATTGTAACCTTCTCAACCCCAATTCTATATGGAATAAGCTCTACTTTGTACTGTGCCTAGGGTACCTGGAGATACTATCATACACTTCACATACACAAACTATCTGATGAACCTATCACTGGTACATTTTCTGGTTTAGAATCCATACCCTTTTCTGTTAAAGTTGTATATATCTACTAAAGTTTATGAACTACTGTGYGTAATTTCATCTCTCTCTGACTATATCTTCTCCTCTCCTTACTGATGACTTTGCAACATATTTGGGAACATGGAGTAATATGAATCTTAAAACATATTCTTATTCTTTAAGTACAATAAACTAAATATATGAATATTTAATATGTACTAAGAAAAAATGTGAATTTTAAATTATGATGGGAAAAAGTTTGGCAACTCTTTTGGAGAAATCTATGAGTCCTTAAGATTAGAGAATAGAAAAATACATTAGAGGTTATGGAGATAAATCAAGATGCAGAGAGTTAGGAAAAACTTTAGGAATTTGGTGAGTGTAACAGGATTTTGATAGGCAGTGGGAATTTTGGAAGCCATGAGTCACGTAAAGAAATCTCTAGTAGAAAGTTTCAAATATAAAAAAGGAATATAACTAATATACCCATATAATGTAAAAAAAAAGTAAGGATAGTCAAAGATATAATATTTTRCAACCCTAAAAATATAACCCAAGTATAAACTGGGAGGAACTGTCCCCACAGAATAAGCAAAAGACTGAATTAAAACTAAAACATATAGGCTTATATTTACAAGTAAACCCAGACATTTTACCTAGTTCACTACATCTTCATCTTTCCTTAACCATGTCAGGCCATGCTATAGTTTTAAGCTTGAATTTATGGAGAGAGGGGAAGAAGATACTGAAAAAGAAAAAAGAAATATCTCAAGACAGAAAAAAAGAATGCTTTATGTGATCATAGGAAAGCAATTCATCAATTTTAAGTTGGGTATTTTAAAACAGCTAAACTCTCATATAAAGAAATTCCTAATTTCTTGAGGCTCATGATCTCATTTRTAGGCATTCTGATAAGCAGTGGCAATTTTGTCTTGGAACATGATTAAGRTAGTTTTGAGGGTTTATTTTATTTTATTTTTTAAATTTGATGTCACCATAGCCATAGCTCAGGCCACCATAATAAATGCCATAGTAGCACATGGTGAAATCAGTGGAAAGTTTAGTTAAGACAGATAAGTAGCATCTGGAATCTGAGCCTCCTCGTTTGGAGAGGTCTTTTTTATATCACTTGTGTTGCATATGAAGCAAACCATAGACTCAAATTTCCAAACTAATTGACATCAAATTTAAAAAAAAATAAGCAGTGTCAATTTTGTCTTGGAACATGATTAAGATAGTTTTGAGGGTTTATTTAATKTTTTTCAAACTAATGTCTTATAAATGTATTTTCATGTGTGATTCTAAGAGTTGCTTGACATTAACCTAAAGCAAATCTCATTTTTTTTTGCAAAATTCAATGTTTAACCCATTTAACAGACAAAAGCAATAGCATTATTGCCCATCAACCTCATAGTTTCTTTTTGTTTTTATGGTCTATGCTATTATAGTATTTTTATTAATTTTTATGTATGATAGCAGAATGCATTACAATTCATGTTAYACATATAGAGCACAATTTTTTACATCTCTGGTTGTTTTACATCTCATGTCTGCATATGTGTACTTTGGATAATAATGTTTATAAAATTTCATCATCATTTCTAACTCCATGCCCCCTCCCTGCCCCTCTCACCCCTCTATCATTATGCACTACATTTAAACATGTGCTTCTGGACAAAATATAATTCTATCCCACATCATGTATTCCAACTTCTCCTTTTCACTCAAAGATAAGAATTCTCATTGTGCAACTGACTGGTATTTCTGATGGTCCTATATTCCAATGAAAAGACTGCCTCATTTTGAAATATGTCTCAGGGAGTCTTTTGAATTTGATGCTGGTCATCTTCTGGAAGAATTCCTGTTATCATTAACAAAAGATGGAGCCTTTTGTTGAAAACCACTATAGAAAGCATAAATATGGCTCAAATATATGCTGAATAAGGTGATCTAACTCGTAGGGTCTAGTTGACATTCAATGAAACTCCCTGTAATGACTTCTCATATTTATTTCATTCATTTATAAATATTGTTAATTAATTAAGATATAAACAAATTGACAATCAAATAAAAAGCAACATTAGTTACTATTCTTTCATTCACTACTACTAAATGCATCAGACCTATCATTGACAATGATACAGGCTCCACATTGGGATTAGGTTTTCTAAACTATTATAAGAGACTTKTCAATCATTTCCCCAGCTGCCAAGTACAGGCTTTCAAAGCAACCATAGAAACCAGTATTGTGATTGTACTCCTTCCTGCATGAAGTGGAAAAAA